GAGAGAGAGAGAGAGAGCAGAACAAGAGGCGAGTCGCTTCGAGGCCCAAGGCTTGCGAAAGGTCGGAGCACGAGAAACCACTGTCGGTGAGAGAGAAGAGCAACTAGTCCGGCGCCAAAGAAGTCGTCGCGGGGATGGAAGATGGTTGTAGCGAGCTGCTGCATAGGGAACAACGGCGCGTTGCCTTGAGACCGCCCTACTCGCGGCGGCCAACTGGTCTTGTCCAGGTCTCTGGCCATCCGTGATCCAGTCGCTCTCTTATCACACAGACAGGCCAAAAACGCAAAGGTGAGGGGGCGGAGAGATGGTCAAAGTTCATAGTGTTCATTCACTCATGCATCCGGATTTGATTTGGCTCGATCAGGTGCTGCATCTGGGATGAGAAGGCAGAGCGGGAAAGGCGAATGGTCATCAAGAAAATCAGGTGGGAAACGTGGGAGTCAGGAAAGAAGTCAGAGATATCTCCGTGAAGTCAGGACAAAGAACGGCCGCGAGGAGACAGCGAGACGAAGATGCACCCTTGCTGTATTGCGCTGGGTACCGCGCCTCCATACGTCATAATGTACAGTCCAAATCGTCTTGCAGACACCCTCCTGGCTCGTGGAGAACGCTTGATGCTTTTAGTTCCCCGCCCCTGTCCCCCCCACTCAGCGACACAAATCATCTTCCCGGGTCGTCTCCAACCTGTCCTCCTTCCCGCATATCGACAGTCTCGGGCTCGTGCAATTTTGGTTGGGGACTTGAAAAAAAAAATTGGAGAGAAAGCCTCTCCTCCACATCTAATGGCCATGTTCCCAGCCATGTTCTATGGTCACGGTGAGAAAAGAAGTTTGGGAATCTTGAAAGACGCGTGAGAGCGCCTTATACATTATGAAACAGGTAACAAGAGAAGAAAAGAATGTCGACAGGCGGCAGCTACTCATGTCCTGGAGAAGTCGGTGAGCTGGAAAATGACGTTAGTGACACTTTCAATCAAGCACATGATAATATGTGATACGGATTTTGGGGCCAGAAACATACTATGAGTCCTGGTTTCCACCGGCCCCTCGCCCGCCGGGAGTTCTCGGAGAAAAGGTTGGAGACTGCAAAGAGACATGTGTCAGTCAGATTGTTCGGCGTCATGAACACCAGCAGGAGAGGCAGGCCTGTCACTTACACTAGGCGAATAACCAGGGCTGGTGGGCGACTGGTTCTGAGCAGGCGATCTGTGGAGAGCAGGGCTTGTGGGAGAGTAGGCGCCAGTCGGGGACGTGGGAGACCATTTCGGCGATGCCGGAGAGTAGTTTGGTGATGTGGCATGAAGGTTGGGCGACGCCGGGCTGTAGCCTGGACTGACGGGCGAGTAGGACGGCGATGTCGGTGAGTTGAATTGGTTGGGCGACGTGGGCGAATAGTGCTTGGCACCACCACCACTGGGCGAGGCTGGCGAGTAGCCCGGTGATGTTGGGCTGTAGCTGGGACTTGTCGGGTTGGTGGCGCGGAAACCGGGAGAGGAGGGCGAGAAGGACGGGGACGAGGGGCTGAAGCTCGGCGACGAGGCATAACGACCCGACATGTCCAGCATGGGTGACGAGGGCGAGTAGCCAGCGCCAGGGGAAGCCGGCGAGTAGCTACCGCCGTAGTTGGCGCTGAAAGGCGACGTCGGAGATGTGCTGAAGGGGCTGGTGGCCCTGGGGCTGGCGCCGGCGCCGTAGGGAGTGTTGAGGCCCCGGAACGGGTCGCCATAGGCCGTCTCGAAGCCGCTGGGGGAGTCGGAGCCGCCACTCACGATGGGCGAGAAGCTGCCCATGGTGGGTGAGCCCATGCCCAGGTAGCCCGAGTCGGCCATGGGCGAGCCCGTGTCGTAGGGAGTGGCCGCGCCCTCGGCCTGCGAGCCCTTGATGGTGAGGCCTGGCATCAAGCCCATGCGGGAGTTGTCCGAGATGACCGTGTCGAGCATCTTGGGGTCCAGCAGCACATCAAACGCGCCTGTGCCCATGGGTGCCAACTGTCCAAGCATGACGTTCTCCGAAATTCCTCGGCAGTCGTCCAGCTCGCCGATCGACGCCGCCTCGAGAAGGATTTCGACCGTCTCCTCGAACGAACAACGCATCAGGGCACCCGTGTCGGCGCGGTTGATGCCGTGTCGCGTCACCGCCGCGATGCTGCCACGGTACGTCATGACGTCGACCAGCAATGCAAGATGGCGGTGGTTGACGTACGAACCGTCGAAAGCAAGCACCTGGGTCAGCTCTCCCAGCAGCGCCGTTCGCGCCGCCTCGATGCCCAACATCTCCACGATCTGGTGGAGGTCGTTGGTGCCAGACCGGACCCGGTCGACACCATCCACAGCAAGTACCGGCCGGAGCGACGTGCCTTGTGTATCAAGGTACCATTCCTCGCACTCGGGCGCATCCTTGCTGTTGAGCAGCGACCCGTCGGGCTTGACGAAGAGCTTAGTATCCTTGTTCAAGAAAGCTCGCTCGATTCCGGGCACACCGCGCAGCGTCAGCGTGTCCAGCATGTGCGACTCGAGGCGCTTGAGCATGACATCATCCTCAATACCACCGCCGTCGCCGTCCTTCTCCGAGTCCGTGTTGACGGCGCGCATGCGGATCACCTGCTCGGGCGCGTTGTTGTCGCTGTGGATCACCACCAGGTCGTTCGAGTACTCGCTCTTGATCCGAGCCGCCACATCCTCAATGCGCAGGCCCTTGTCGAGCATCTTTTGTCGATCCAGCGTCAGACGCAGCACCCAGCGCGACTGGAAGTCAGGCTCGTTCGCCGACTCCTCGGGGATGAGATAGTGGCCGTCGATCGTGTCTTGGTCCTCCTCGATCGTAGTGCTCCTAATCTCAGGGTCGTAGTAAATCTCCGTCATGGCGCTAACCGACCGCAGGTTTGTGTGCTCGACCAAGCTACGCAGCGTCTTGGCGTGCTCTTGAATCGGTTCCGGGTAGAAGTCCGGGTCGAGGCGGACGATCATACCTGGGGTCTTGATGTCCTTGGACACGTTGAGAATTTCCTTCAGACGCGGAACACCGAGTGTGACGTTCTTGGACGAGATACCCGTGAAGTGGAACGTGTTGAGCGTCATCTGCGTTGCGGGCTCACCGATAGACTGCGCAGCGAGCACACCCACCATCTCGCCGGGGCTGATCATGGACCGCTGCCAGCGACTCTCCATCTCGCCAACGACGTGGTCAAAGGCAATCTTGCTCAGGCGCTCCCGCACCGCCAGGCGCTTGAAGGACAGCCGCGAACGAAGCTGTGCCTTGAAGAGGATGGACGAGTTGTAGTCGGCCTCCTTGGAAATCTCATCATCACCACGCACCACCACCATGCGACTGAGAAAGCCCTGCACTGCCGGGATGACGTCCTGCGGGCGAAGGTCGCTGCGCTGCGCCGAATCCAGCCTGAATAGCTTCTTGGCGTTCTCGATGACGCGGTTCACATTGAGTGGCAGCTGCATATCGTTGTCGTCCTTCTTCTTGTAGTTGATCCGGCGCACAATCTTGCGGTCCTCCAGCACGGCTTCGTACTCGGCATCCAGCAGCTGCTGTGCCACGGCATCGCCAAAGATCTCGTTGCCGTACTCGAGAGCGTTCAAATCGTTGGTGCGGCTCTCACTCATGACATCCATCTTGAACATCGCATCGAACTGGGCCTGCGAGCAGTTGAGGTGATCCATCTTCTGCTTCTCGATGTGCATACCATCGAGGCCATCCTCACCATAGACGAACTGGATGATGTCGCCAAGAGAGTTGCGCACAGTACCGTCGTACTTGGCGCTGACATCTTCAAGTGCCTTGACCAGACGTCGCTGGATGTAACCCGTCTCAGCTGTCTTGACGGCCGTGTCGATCAGACCTTCGCGACCAGCCATGGCGTGGAAGAAGAACTCGGTTGGTGTCAGACCACGCAGATACGAGTTCTCCACGAACCCACGTGCCTCCGGCGAGTAGTCGTCCTTGGTGAAGTGCGGCAGGGTCCGGTATTTGAACCCAAAGGGAATACGTTTGCCCTCCACAATCTGCTGGCCCACAAGTGCCGTCATTTGCGAGATGTTGATGGCAGAGCCCTTCGAACCGGACCTCGACATGGTCACAGCGTTGTTCAGATCCTTCAAACTCTTCTCGGTCGTGGTACCAGCCTTCTCACGAGCCGTGTTCAGGGCCTTGGAAACCTTGCTCTCGAATGTTTCGCGGATGTTCATGCCGGGAAGGGCCTCGAGGGTATTGGTTGTGGCAGCCTGAGTGAGCTCCGCGACCTCGGTCTTCTGCTCAGTGATGTGCGCCTGGATCTTCGCGATGGTTTCCTGATCCGGAATCGTATCACCGATACCAATGCTGTGGCCATAGTGCAAAAGCATGTAGTTGACCACACGCTGGCAGCCGTTCAGGAAGGCCATGGCGCTGTCTGGGCCTTGTTCGTTGTAGCAGATGTGGATGATGCCACCCGAAGAAGCGCCGACGTTCTTCTTGGTAAGGAGACCGTACATGAGCTCGCCTGACTGGATCATCAGGGTGTCATCGTTGAGAGGGTTGAAGTCGTTGCCCGTGTGCGTCGTGACAAACTTGGGGATGATCATGCTGATAATCTGCTTGCCGGTCCAGCGGGGCCGCGGGCGCAGGATGCAGGGCATGGGGATGATGCCGTCCCAGTCCGGTACCCAGAGCATGATGTTCATGACATGCTCTTTGGTAAGAAACACATCACGTCGACAAAGCTTGTAGCAGCCTGCCAGTGTGTCCTGGACGATACCCATGAGGGGACTGTTGCGCTGCGGCGAGACGATGTTGAGAGGCACCATGCAGAGTCCGCGCACCTCGGCGCGCGTCTCCTCGGTCTGGGGCACGTGCAGGTTCATTTCATCACCATCGAAATCGGCGTTATAGGGCGACGTGACCGAAAGATTGAGTCGGAAAGTCGAGTAGGGCATGACACGGACTCGATGGCCCATCATGGACTCCTTGTGCAGCGACGGTTGACGGTTGAAGATGATATAGTCGCCCGTGAGTAGATGACGCTCCACCTTCCAGCCATACTCGAGTGAGATTCCGTTGCGTCCCTTGACGTGACGCAGGTCGATACGGCTGCCGTCGCTCCTGATGACATACTTGGCGCCAGGATGTTCATTAGGCCCATTCGCAACGTATTGGTGCAGGCGGCTGATGTTGTACGGCGTGACCGTCTCCGGGTAGGACAGGGTGCGGGCAATGCTCCTCGGCACACCGACCTCGTCGAGAGAAATGTTGGCATCACCTGTGATGACCGTACGGGCCGAGAAATCCACGCGCTTTCCCATCAGGTTACCACGCAGACGGCCCTCCTTGCCCTTGAGACGAGCGCGGATAGACTTGACGGGGCGACCACTCTTCTGAAGCGAACGGGGGACGGAAGCGATATCGTTGTCCATGTACGTGGCGACGTGGTACTGCAACAGCTCCTCGAACTCGAGACAGATGTGGGCAGGCGCACCGTCTTGGATCGCCTGCTTCACGTTGCCGTTGGCGCGGATGATATCACCGAGCTTGTAGGTCAAATCGTCTTCGTTGCGCATTCCTGTACCGGTGCCGTCCATCGAGATGCTAGGCCGCACTGGAGGGGGCGGCACAGGCAGCACCGTGACAATGAGCCACTCGGGGCGCGCGTAATCCTTGTTCAGGCCCATATTCCACATGTCTTCTTCCGAGATCTTCTTGAGAACAGCGTGGGCCGTCTCGGGCGTGATGGGCTTGTCTTTGATTTCCTTCTTTTGGGCAGTCTCCTCGTCGTTCGTCTCGCCTTTCACCCTCGCGAAAAGTGCCAATGCCTTCTGGCGGATGTTTGGGTGTGCGCTGCCGCATCCGCCATGGGGAACCTTGGTGACTTGAGGTTTTGAGGATTCGAAGCCATCCTTGTCGCCGCCCTTCTTGGTGGTCTCGTTCTCACAGAACTTCTTGTCCTTACACATAGCCCAGACACGGGCGAAGCGCACCTTGGGGTCCCGTGTCCGGATGGCGTCCAAGAAGCCTTCGTCGTTATCCTGTAGCGGGCGTCAGCACGAAAAAAAAACCACAACAGGCGGCGCCCAGTCAGGCTAACCTTGTCGCATAGCAGCTTGCCGCACTCGTGGCACACCATCTCCAGGATCTTCTTCGTTTTCTTGATGAAGCCCGGATGGTACACAGGTTTGGCAAGCTCGATATGGCCGAAATGACCTGGACATTCCGACATGGAGTTGTTGCAAGTTTTGCACTTGAACTGCCGGTCCACAGAGCCAAGAAGAGGGTCGTTCAAGCCACCCTCACGAGGCTTCGTGCGGGTGTCGTCCATAGCCTCTGGGTACTGGATGTGTGCGACACTCATGTTCTTGGTCTCCTCGGGCGACAGGACTCCGAACTGGATCTCCTCAATCGTCTTGAGGGGAGCCGAAGACGGCTCGAAGATAAGGTTCGCCATGATGACGATGTGCGCGATGGATCACAAGATGAAGAGTGGGATGAAGCGCGGGGAAGTGATTAAAAAGTGGCGTCGCGATGGCCGAAGGAAATCGCGCGAAGTCGCGACAGAAGTGAGCGAAAAGTGAGGAAAAAAGCGAGCGGTGCGGCAAGGAAAAATTAAAATGGTCTAAAACCCGGCAGCTCCAGCGCAAAAATCGATCAACAGACTGCGATAGTCAGTCGCAGTTGTCGCGCTCGTCGTATCGGTCGCCTCTGGGAAGACGAGGCCTCTCCGCTCACAACGGAGGCGCCCCGAAGGAGCGAGGCTTGGATGATGTCGCCTCCTCCACGGTCGCGTTAATCGCTCGGCTCGGGAATGTGTCGCGAAAAGCGGTTCGATCGGTCGCTCGTTCGTGGGACGGCCAAGATGTCCGGTCCGGTGTTCTCGATCCACGACGCGGGCGGCGCGGCGTGCTGGTCGAGGGAGTGCGAAAAGATGTGTTGGGTTTGGGCAAGGGAAGGAATGGTGGAAAACCTCACGTCGTTCTCTTTCGGAGACCACAACAGGCAGTCGCTGCTTTGTGCCAAGCCACACTAACCCTATTAGGATTCGCCCCACCAAGGACTTGACTCCTTTCTTTTTCGCCGACTCGAGTGGGCCTCCTCAGGCTCTCAGGCAGGAACGTCCGCATGGAGGCTTCTATTGGAGGTACGAAAAAGTACTTCAGCGCTGCGCGACGTCGGGGTCCGACGCGACAAATTCGCGTTACGCTCCACCGCAGCAGATGTGGGGATGTACTCTCATGGGAATCTGCTAAGTCTTGCGCAGTAGATCGATTTAAGCGCGATAGTTACTTTTAGACACCAGGCGTTCTGACCACCCACTCCACGCATCTCGGTCACCCAGGCGCATTCCAAAGGAAATGGGGAAAAGACCACTCACATGCCAGTCTGAAAATACTGTGCTCCACTCGCATTTCTCGCTTTTTCTTTTTCGAGGCCACCACACGCGACGATTGCTCCAGGCAGATAGCTAGGTACACCTCGACGAAGCATTCGGTCATCCTGTGAATGTCGTTGGCGATGATCACATTTCGAATGGACTGGAGGAACGCCTGTCACGCATACAGACATCATAAATGAGAGTGATGCCAGATACAGTCGCAGGTGAAATGCAACCTGCGATGCCAGAGACGCTAATATCTCTAGCCCTTTTTCCTGGACCTGGACTTGGCGGTCGTGCCTTTCTTCGCCGTCGCCTTGTCCTCAAGCCCATTCCCGTCGCCCTCCCCCTCGCCGGGGCTCCTCCGCCGCATGGTGCCTGTCGATACGGCGATGAACTCCTCCTCGCTGTCAGATTCGCCCAGGTTATACAGGATGGGCACCTGGAACGATTCCTCGTCCATCTCGCCGTTCGTGTGCACAGCCAGTACCTCGACATCCTCGTCCTCTCGGTCCAACCTGCGCTTGGCGATCACTTCCTGTTCCAAAAGATCAAACTCGTCCTCCTTTTCGGCGTACTGCACGTTCTCTTCGACCTCGACGAAGTCTGGTGCTAGCGCCGACCAACGCTGCGGGCTCGTAACGGACCAGATGTTAATGCGCCCTGTCTCCAGCCCGCATGCAGCTAATAACGCCTTGTGGGGGTGCCACTCGATCGTGCCCTGCTCCTCCTTGGTGCCCTCCAGCATGCGCACCAGACTTCCATGACCCCTCTCCCAAATATATAGCTCGTGGTTGTTGTAGGTGGACGCCGCGACATAGTCGCCGGTCGAGCTAAAGGTAACATGGTTCCACTGCAACCTGTTGACCACGTCCTGGAACTTGTGCTCGTCCACCAGTTGGATCGTGTCTAGATCCAGGTCCTCGGCAGACAGGTTGGGGACGTGGAAAGTCCTTATAATCCTGTCCTGTGCGTTGAGTAACAAGATCTTGCCTGAGCGTGATAATCGCATTGTAGTGATGACGCCCGTGCAGGGCTTCTTGGAGAAGACCACGTCACGAGTCCGGGAGTCCACGATGTTGATCCATCCTTTGCTCGTGCCCGCTATGATGTGGTCGCCCGTAGCTGTGTATATGGCGACTGTTGTCATTTGCTTGCTGTCTTCTTTCGCCCATTTCTCCTTGAGCGTCTGGTCGTCGGTCTCTGGTCGCTTCGGCTTCGAGGGCAGTATGTGCTTGACTTCGATCGGGTCTGTTGCGTCGACAACAACGGGCTGGTCTTCGAACACGGAGGCCACAAACTGGTAGCTGCTGTCTTCTTAGCGCACGGGTCGGCGACGAAAATAGCATTTTTTTTTGGTGTAGCCTACCGGTCGCGGGGGTTCAGCTCCGCGATGTAGACGGGCGCCCTAAAGCGCACCTCGCGATGCCTCTTGCCGTTGCTCAGATCCCAGATGATGGCCTTGCCGCCCTGACATGCCGAAAGCAGGTACCTCCCGCATCTAGACCAGCTCAGAGAGGAAACGCTCTTAGAGTGTCCCCTCAGCTTGCGAGCGACTCCCATGGTGTCGAGATCCCACACCACAACGGCGCCATCGACTCGGCCGGAGGCGAGGTAGTCGCCGGTGCGGTTAAACCGGAGGCATGTCGCATGGCCAGATCTGACCGTGTTGGTGATGTTCTCGGGGTAGTCCTGCAGCAGGTAGTCGTCGGATAGAAGGAGGTTCATGGTCGCAGTGCTGCTCTGAGGGTTGGCGGGCAGCTCCTAAGTGCCAGCTCCGTCAATCGATGCGTGGGCCATGCGCGTCAACGGTAGGTTGCCTTGCCCTCGCGCGTCTTGGGGCGAATTTCAGTGCTTTTGGAATGGTTGCGTAACTAGAGCTAGTGCGGGGCGTAATGACCCCAGTCACATATGGCGGGGCGACTTTGGGATCAGCCTTGGCTGCATTTCCTCCTTTAATCACCTGTCATGAAAGCTTCCATATATATTGGCCAAACGCCTTATGGATGTTGTATGTCTCTCCGTTTGTGGCGCTATCCTAGCTTTCCCGTGGGCAAATCCCATCTTGACCACGAAGACAGCTTACAGGCAAACTAGCACGTGCGACTCCGTCTCCAGCGCAGAGGCTAGCTGGTGTGACGAACCCAAATCGGGATGGCAAACTCCAAGTGAGGACTAGGCCTCATTCACAATTCCATACACTCGGGGAGGAGTCCTTCAAATGGGATCAGCAACAATCTCCGCTAACCCTCTCGATTTCTAACCCTTTGCCCAGGTTTGAATATGTGAGGCTGTTCGAGCAGCCGGACAGTCTGCTCCCCAATACGTGGGTCGTCGTGCGTTTGGACGGACGAGGGTTTACCAAATTTGCCACCAAGTATGGCTTCAAAAAGCCCAACGACAAGCGTGCTCTTGACCTCATGAATGCTGCAGCCAAGTCGGTAATAACAGAGCTCCCTGAAATCACTATCGCTTATGGTGTCAGTGACGAGTTTAGGTACGACTGCCACATCAGGGACTTCCTCTACCGTCCGCCATCCGCCGGAGCAGCCTTTGTTAACCACCTAGTTCGGGGATAGCTTCGTCTTCCACAAGCACTGCGCCTTGTTCGACAGGCGTTCGAGGTATGCGAAGGCGGCACTGCCGGACACCTAACTGGAGCGTCTTGGTGCGAGGTTGCTGAACACTCTTCTTTCCCTGTCCTCGTAGCAAGCTTGTTTCGACTGTTGTGTCAACCTTCACTTCCTATTACATATACTACTGGTCAACCTACTTCCCGGAGACGCCCCTGTCACCTCCTCTACCGAGCTTCGATGGGAGAGCAGTCTGCTATCCCAGCGTGCAGAATCTGAGGGACTACCTCAGTTGGCGTCAGGTCGACTGCCACATCAACAACCTCTACAACACCACATACTGGACCTTGATCCAGCAGGGCGGTCTTGATGCCCAGGCAGCGGAGAGGTCTCTTGCGGTAAGCGGATTCTTAGGCATTATTAGTTGAGTTTGTCATGAAAATCGAGCACCAAGTAACGCAGATCGCAGGGTACTTTCGCTGCCGACAAGAACGAGATACTCTTCTCAAAGTTCGGGATCAACTACAACAACGAACCTGAGATGTGCAAGAAGGGAAGCGTCGTCTTCAGAGACGTGAGTCTGAATCCAATTATCACCCAGGTATCTACTGTGACGGCACAATAAAACATTCGTTCTAACTCCTTGCAAAGTACAAGTTGGAGGAGCCGGGAAATGGCCAGGACAAAATACAGGAGGCAGAAAACCTCACGGAGCCCCCCAAGGAATCCAAGACGCAAGCAGAGAGCAACAAGAAGAAGCGTGCAAAAGCAAGGGTCACGGTTGAGCACATGGATATCATCAAGGATGATTTCTGGGATAGGCGTCCGTGGTTACTCTCCAACAAGCCTGGGGAGATCCCCAAGGAGACGTAGGGTGTTGCTCATGGAAAGATGTATTCTCGGTCGTGGCTCATTTCGTAAAGAGTGCAGGCCTTTATAATAGGGCCATGCCTGACTTTGCGGATAACTCGACAGAACTATTTATTCGGGGGTTTGGGTGATCTCAGCCCTCGGACCCCTTGCGGCGCTCAGTTTTTCTTTTCCTCTTGGCTTCCCTCCTGGCCTGTCTCTCCTCCTTTGTCTCGAGCGCCTTCTTGTCGATTTTCCTCCTTCTCCTAGCAGTAAGGATCTCCTCGACGTCTAGCGCCCCGCCAGTTGACTTGCGGGCTTTCTTCTCGGCCCGTTCGCGTCTCCGTTGTGCACGTCTCGCCTTGCGCTCGCTCTTTGTCTCCGGCAAGCGGGGGCCGCCGCCCGCATCGGCGCCGCTCTCCGACGTGCTCTCTGCCGTCGCGGATGTGTCGCGTGGGGTCGAGTTTCCGGAGGAAGACGGGGACGAGATGGTGCCCTTGAGCAGGCCTCCCCTGACGAAGGACGCGTACAGGCCGTATGCGCCCGTGTACCTGGCGGCGGCCCCGCGAGCCTGGATGGCGTTGAGGGCGCCGCGCTGGACCGTCTGGACGACGGTGGCGCCCGTCTTGCCCGTGGTGTCGAGCCCCTGGAGCTGCTGGTCGAAGGCGTTGAGCCACCACTGGTCGCTGGTGCAGTGCTCCTTCTTGCCGATACCGAGGGTGTTGTCCTTGCGCGATATCAGCAGCGGCCGCGCCAGGCCGGCCGAGTCGTCGCTCGGGTGGAGTGTGTGGCCGTGGCCGCGCCAGCCCTGCGACTTGAGCAGCGCATGTGCGTCCATCGGGAATGCCTGGTGGTTTGTGGCTGTGACCTAGAGGGTCCGGGTGAGTCGGTGTGCGAGTGATCGCAGCCGGTGTGTCATAGCACGGATGTGGTTATCATTTTCTTCTTCGCTTTGGCTGAGTGCCTCCTCAGGATTCAAGGCCGCGACGACGCCTTGGATTTTTTGGAGGTTGTTTGCGCCATGTACCTCCCAAAATTTTTGGCGAGTTTAGCAAAGAGTCCCCGCACCAGACCCACATTTACATTTGCCTCGAAGACCTCGACTCGCCTACAACAGCAGCGTCAAGTCACTTTCAGGGGCCCAATTAGCGGTCTTGGCGATACATATATTACAAGAAATCCAACATGGATCTCTCTCCCTAGGCCACCCTCTTAACACGCCCCGTGCATTGAACCAAAACACACTTCCAAACTCCGGGTAAGAAAGAAATACATTACCAAGATGGAAGCCAACCAAGAGAAAAAGAATGGGAGCCAAAATACAAAACCCACGACAAAGGAAACCCTTTCTCCTGATGCTGCCCATCCGCGGTGAGACATGAGAAGAGCTGGAGACGGAGGAGAAACCGCCAACCTTTGCTCATGGGAGGCCCATACTCCTAAGGACCAGCAATAGGTCCGCCAAAAATTGTGCGCAAGCTACCCCCGATGATCTGCAAAAGGCCCCCTATGACAGCGGCGATGGCCCACCAGACGCCATAGGAGATGTTGTAGAAACCCCGTAAGAGAACGTTGTTGGGAGAGATCAGGGCGCTCAGGGAGATGACGGCGAGAAGACCGAGCGTGGGAATAAGAAAGCTGCGGGCCTGGTCGATGCGATGCGTCGTTTTCTTGGACGATAGCACGTGCTCTGTCAAGGTGGGCTTCCGTTCCCACATCTCGCCCTGGTCATCCGACATGCCATAGTAATAGGCCACCTCACACCTGGAGACCAGGGCAACGCGCTGGCCATTCTCTGCGCCGTAATGTTCGACACTTCCGAGGGGCTCGTGGCGCTTGATCTGGGGCCAGGCAATGACCTTGACCTTGGCAATCCGCTGATAGCGCCTGCTATCATCGTTTCCTTGACGCATATCGTACTTCTGCCCCTTCGACTTCGACTTCTGGTAGATGTGCTCCGGCTCCAGGTGACTGTAGTCAAGCTCCCACTTGTCTCCCGGCTCCGGATACTCGATGTGGAAGATGGTGTGGGACAGACGAATGCAGATGGAGAAGTAAGCGGCCTCGGCGATGATGTCGTGAAGCTCCTGGTAGATTACCATGAGGCCAGGCCACTTCTCCGTCGGCGTCTGTTGACCTTGGAAGTTGATCAAGGGTAGAAGGAGGGAGGTGACCTGGTAGGCCAACGCATCCACCCTCGGCCAGAAGTTGGGTGAAAGCAGGTCACCTCCCAACATATCTCTGACGATCTGAGCGCGTCTTTTAGTCCGTTTGAATCCTATGATGCTGCATTAGCTACCGGAACCACCTCCCAAAAGGTGAACAAACAGGTAGGCATACCGTCGTCAGAGAGTGTGGCCTCATCGTGGGCCCGGAGGAACCAGGTTTGCTGATCCGTCGCTCCCCACAAAAGCTCGTTGAAGACATTCTCGACCAAGACTTTAGAGATGATCCCGGTCACGAGACATGCCCGGTGCGTCTTGTCCTTGAGCACATGGTCCCAGCCTCCAACGAGAGGGTCCTGACGCGAGAGCTGAGACGCAAAGCTGAGGAACTGAGGTGAAAGCTCAGCGTCCGCCCAAGGGGAACGACCCATGGGCAGGCGAAAGTTGTGCTGTCCAAATCGCCTGACAGAGAAAGTGTAGGTCGCCCAGTACAGGTGCCTAAAGGTCTCTTCAAACCAAGAGTCCTTTCTCTCCCACTCGGCATGTGGTAGTGCGATCTCTATCCTCGTCGGCGTGTAACCTGCGAGATCATGATGAAGTGTTCGAGGCGTGAAGTAGACATCGGTGAGGGGGTTTGGAACCCAATGGCTCAGCTTGATGCCGAACTGCGCTACCCAGTCGCTCGACTGATGGTCTGTCCGGGCCTCCCAGAAATATTTGCTGGCTTCCTGGTGAGGGCCTTGGTCCTCGTTGGTGGCTGCCATGGCTGGACTCCTGTTGTTGCTTCAGGTGATTTTCTTTTGGTAATATCGATGCGCACCTACCGTAGTGGTCGCCAGGGGGCATGACGGGCATCTCGTGTATAAATGCGCACGTCGAGTCCTCCATGTGTTCATCGTTTTCGGCATCTTTCCTTTGTTCCCAAAGACGCACCAGACAGACGAGTGGCTCCGAACGCAAACGGCTCCCTCTGAATAGTTAGGAACCAAAATTTACCGGCAAATTTCATTGTTGGCTGCACCAAGGTGTCGCTCATTGAGGTTGGTTTTTCGTCCAGTTGGTGATATCCTAGCAGGATGAGAAAAGGGGCGATGGGTTGTGGAATGCATTACGCTGGGGCACTTCACTCTAGACGAAAACGTCTTCGAGTCCGAACAAAGGCGGCACGCATTCAAATCCAATTAGGTTGCCCGCGGACATCTGCCTGAAAGCTCGCACACAGACATAACCTTGGGACTTGGAAGTGAACGCGCTGGGCTAACACTAAGTGACTGCGCTAGCCAGGCCGCAAACGCGTTGTCTCATCTGAAATGATGATGCGACTGGTGCTTGAGTGCACCATGGCGTAGCGGGACCAGTTCTAAAGCTGAATGCCAGGGTTGTTTAGGGATACCGCGGGGAACAGAACCCCCCCCCACTCACTTGTGTTTGGTCGAGCTGCTACCTGCGCCGTCACGAGGTTCCATGGCAGCAGCGCCGATTACATGAGGCATCAGTTTGCGCGATCAGACACAGCCTTTCAGTACGGAAGGCCAGCTTGCATACACATACCTCTATATGGATACCTATCGAGTATAGGTACTTAAGAGGCAGATCAAAGATCACAAGTGGTTACCGTTGTCGTGTGAGCCGAGTCCATCCATGCCACCTCCTGTGCTCCTTACAGCTGTGGTGTGAGTGAGTGCAGGGCGTGCATTGATTGATTGACAGGAGGAGCCAGCGCCGCAATGGAGTTTGGGAGACGTGGGGGATGGAGTCCAGGGTTAGGCAACGACGGCCCCACTTTCGCCTCTGCCCTGCTTCAACTTGGCTCGTCCCTCCTCCCGTCCTGCCATCGCAGTTGCGCCCACGCTGTTGCGATCGAGCAAAAAAATCATCACTCGTGCATGGAGCAAACCTTGCAGACTTTTCTTCGACCATTTTTTTCCCTTCCCCTTTCCTACCCCGACTTAGCCTGGCGCATAAGTCAAGTCAAACCGCACCTTCCTTCCTCCACAATAACATCTTGCCGTGACAAACCACAAATAGCCACGGTCACTGCTGATTCTTTGCCCACCTCAACTGCCTTCGATTCTCTTGCATCTGTCGGGCCTTCCTGCTCCCGCGGTTTCCGGCCAAACGCCGCAGTCTCCCTCGGCGGATTGATTGCCCCACCCACGCGCCTTCTCCCACCAAAAACGACTCTCAGCGAATTTGCGCCTTGCATCAACCAAGCCGCCTCCGAACCTCCGCTAGAAAGGTGGCCAAACGCAGCCCGCCCTTCGCCCGTCTCTTCTCGACACCCCTTGATCCTCGCTGGAGAACTGGTCCAGCACTCTGTCCGCTCTGCGCATCATCGTCCCCGCACCGAATCTCATCGCCCTCGCCCCCGTGTGACCACAAACATGTCCACCCAGGTCGACCTCTCGACAATCCCCATCTCTCCTGATGGGGACAACGGCCCTTCGTCCTCTAGCGTGGACAAGGAGATCACAGTCTTCCACGACCAGAACAACTTCAACGTCAAGCACCCGCTGATGCACAACTGGACTCTGTGGTTTACCAAGCCTCCTAGCGGCAAGGTTCGTTCTCCAGCTGCCCCTCCTCGCAAAAACACTATTAAGGCTCCGTGCGGCCATTGACACTTGTGCGTTCTAGGGCGACAACAACTGGAACGATCTGCTGAAAGAGGTCATCACTTTCAACTCGGTCGAGGAGTTCTGGGGTATCTATGTAAGTGTCTCGTGAACGATGGCTGTACCTTGCGGCCTACCTATGCATGGCCTGCAAACCCCCTCAGAGCCATGTGCTCCTGTTGTATGCACCTTACTTACATGGCATCTGCATACGGTAGAACAACATTGCCCCCGTCTCGGAGCTGGCGCTCAAGTCCGACTACCACCTGTTCAAGGAGGGCGTTCGGCCAGAGTGGGAGGACTCTCAGAACAAGCATGGCGGCAAGTGGTCGTACAGCTTCAAGGATAAGCGCAGCATCGGCATCGACGAGCTATGGCTTCACACGATGCTGGCCGCCATCGGCGAGACCCTGGAGGGGGAGGATGACGGCGAGGTGATGGGCGTGGTCGTCAATGTGCGCAAGGCTTTCTACCGTGTCGGTGTCTGGACACGGTCCACCGGCAAGTCTATCCCTGGTCGCGGCGAGGGTGATGTTGCTGGCGGCAAGGGCCGTGCACCCGAGAAGAGTAAGGGCATCCTCATGGATATCGGCAAGCGTTTCAAGGAGGTCCTCAAGCTGCCGCCCAACGAGATCATCGAGTTTTCGGGCCACAACGATGCCGCCCACAGCGGCAGCACGGGGGCCAAGGCGAAATTCACCGTCTAAGACACGTCCCGGATGAGCGATTGACTCTTCGCACCCTGCTTTGAGCGTGGCCCGGGGCTGGATGGATCATGTGACTGTTCGTCACCACCCGGCTCCGATCTTATATCATTTTTCTCTTTGCTTTTTGACCAAAACTCAAGGTTTCTGCGCAAGCTCATGTCTCCTATCTCACTGCACAATTAGGACACACATACCACCCGGGAATATCAATTTCGAGGGCTTTCACTTTTCACGGGCTTTTCAGCATTGTCCATGCACTAACCGTGTTCTTGTTTTACCCCCATCCTCCTTGTTTTCTCACTCCTCATTGTATTCCCCGCGATTCTATCTCTGGATCACTTGGATGTGCTGCTGGATGTCTGGCTTGACGAGACGAGGCGACGAGAATTGCGAAAAACAAAGCATTTAGCAGCCTCCAAAACGCCGAGGTACCGATATGGGAAAGGGCCATCCACTCAGGTGTCTAGGCGTTGCGTGTGCGCACCTACCAGGTAGAGGCACATATGTAATAGGGGACTAGGGCGACTGGGCTTTTTTTTTTCTTTTTTGCGCGCTGTGATAGCTGAAGTTTAGCAAACACTCACACTCGCATGGTGCGATGAACTCGCAAGAAAGCCGGGAATGTTTCATCTTCAACGATATGCGCTCACCGGGCACATTGTGCTTTTCCCCATGGTGCCAGCGGACGAGGCTCAAGGCGAAGTAAAAGAGGAGACTGGACAGGTAGCTATCTGCCCGTGTTGAGATCTTCTGGAGTAGGTAACTGCCTACCTTTAGACACAAAACAAATCGGTTGAACATTCTAGCTTACCTAGTTCTATCCAAGTATTTTCATCTAACCCTCGATATTGTACAAGCAACACCCGACTTGTCTGTCACAACGAAGCGCGTCTCTACTACATCTCGTCGCCGCTAAAATCGTCCTGGAAGACGGCCTGGACGAGCTGCTTCTTGTTGATCTTGCCCATGGCGTTGCGCGGTATGTACTCGACGACCCGCATGACCTGGGGGATCTTGTAGCTGACTAGGCGCGTCTTGAGGGCGCGGCGCATGTCCATGGGCGTCCACTTGGCGCCCTCGGGCACGGTGTCCCTGTCCAGCACGATGACGCATCCGACCTTTTGCCCCCACTTGCCCGACGGCACGGCGCAGACGGCCGCCTCGGCCACCTGGGGGAGCGACAGCAGCTCGCGCTCCACCTCGAGCGCCGAGACCTTTTCGCCGCCCGACTTGATGATGTCGGCGCTCTTGCGGCCCAGGATGAAGTACATGGGGCCTTTCCTCGTCCACTCCTGGCCGGGCGAGTCGTTTTCGCCGGCCCCGGGCACGGGTCTGCGGACCGCCACATCGCCCGTCTTGAACCACTTGCTGCCGGAACCGTTGGTATGTCCGTTTACGTGGCCGTTGGCATGCCCGTTCGTGTGCGTGTCGCCATTGGCGGATTCCTCCGACTTGCTGCCGTCATAGACAAACTCCTTGGCCGTCGCCTCGGGGTTCCGCCAGTACTCGGCAAAGACGGTGGGCCCGCGGAGTTGGATCTCGCCGGCGCGCTCGCGGCCGTCCTGGTCCAGCTCCTCGCCGGGCTGGATGACGACCCCCGTGTCGACATCAACGAGACGGGCCTCCACCGATGGCAATGGCCAACCTACGCTGCCGTCGACACGGTCGGCGTTGGCAAGGCCGCACGAGAGCGCCATACCAACCTCGGTCATGCCGTAGCGCTCCAGCAGGACGGTGCCGCCCGAGAGGGCGGCCCAGGCTTTCTTGATGGGCGTCGGCAGCGCGGCCGACCCTGAGATGCTGAGGCGCATATTGGCTGGTGACACAGCGGCGCGGCCGGCCTCCTGAAGCTCCGGCGTCAGGGCCTTATGTGTCGCCAGGAGGCGCGAGTACACAGTGGGCACGACCGTGAAGAACGTGACCTTCTCCGGGCTCGGCTGAGCATCGGCGGTGCCGTTTGTGCCATTGGACTGCGCTGCCTGGGGAAGAAACGGTGCCGCCAGCCGACGCCACACAAAGTCGGCATTGAAGGGGAAGAGAAACTCGACCGAGCTTCCGGCCATAAGGGGCGCAAACACAGCATTAATAGTACCATGGATATGGTGTAGTGGTAGCGCGTGCAGAAGGCGGTCGGTGGACGAATACTCCCAAGCCTGGAGAAGCGACCTTGCCTGCGCCGTCATGACGGCCTGTGGCAAAAGTACACCTTTCTGATGTTTTAAAGTCAGTGGCAGTGTCCCCCTCCAACCCTGCATGTCTTGATTGCGGTGTGGAAACGCAGACTTACGGGCCTGTTTGTAGTGCCAGATGTGTACAGCATCATACCGGCGCCGCCAGGGTTGGTGTCATCCAGGGAGACCTCTTCATGGGCCGACTCCGTCTCGAACTTGGCAAGTTCAAGAAGGGCTGGCTTGGAAGCAAGCCCGGTGGCGAGAACATCCTGCGCCTTTTGGGCAAACTTGGCCGATGAAAGGAGAAGTGTGGCCTCGCTATGGTCCAGGATGTACTGGAGCTCTGGAGGCGGGAAGGCCGGTGCCAGGGGCACAGCGATAGACCTCGCCGCAAGAATGGCAAGGAGGGTCACTGGAACGACGGGACGCTTAATATTCCTGCGTACAATACACGATAAACCAAAAGCTGACGTTGGACTGCAGCCCTTACTCACCTATATAGTCGTAACTGTTCTCTACAAGGAAAGCAATGCGCTCGCTGTCCAGGTTATCCTTCCCGGAGGCGTCATAGAGCCGGTTGCGGACCTTGCAGACGTCGGCCAAGAGCCCGCCGTACCTGAACCTCCGGCCGGACAGGGAGTGGACGACAGCAGTGGAATCCTTGTCATACTTGCTGATGGCTTCAAATATGGGCAGCTTGGGCAGCGTGGACGCCATCCTGAAGGAGCAGCCGGCGAGGGGTCTGTGAAGGGGTCTGAGAGATACCCGGGAGAGAAAAAATGTTGGGAATCTGGGATTCAACATTGCGGGCAGCAAGGGGAGCTCCCATTTAAGGAGCGGGTGTGGGGGCAATCAATAATATGGGGGCGGGCACCCTCGGGGGAGGGCCGTGGAGGGATCGCAGGGCGTGAGCGGGAACATCAAAGCCACTGATGCTGCCGTCGGGGTTGCTGCTGCATTGGCCTGGCTCCACGGAGAGAAAGGCGGGCTGCGGCGCTTGGGCTCGGTAGCGCCTATCGGGCCCGCCGTTTTTTGGTCTGGGACGCACGACCGGCATCGAGGTGGAGCGAGTGAGTTTGCAAGAACTGAGGTGGGCTCTAAGGCCTGATGGACCAACATTGGAGCCGGCAGGTGCGAGCTTCCATTTGTAATTGGAGAATTGCGTTTCTTGCGTTTCTTTTCACGGCCTGAGTGATGGACAGCCGGCCTGTATTTCCATGTGTCCGCTCGTTGTTGGGCAAGTTGAGTTTTTCTTTTGTTTCTTTTTTTTCGGGGTTCTTTCAGGTTGATAGGAAATTTTGCCGTCCCATCTGGGCAACCCTCGATCGGTGGTGCCGGTTGTCGTCACCCAAGCCCCTGAAAGCCGGGGTGGGATTAGCCGGTTGATTGGACTTTCTGATAGGCTGGGCCCGGACCTAAGCCTGCTGTGGGTTGTATTTTTTTTTGCCGACGCTTTGGTATTGGAACGTAGCAAGCGTCGGGTGCCCGGAGCTTCACTAAGTGTGCCGAGCCAGCTCGGCGGCAAAAACCGCATGCGACCCGAAACAGCCAGCCTTGCGTCGTTCTCCAATCCCCCAATTCTCAGGTCTCGTGCTTGCAAGCGAGCGCAGTCTTTGTGCCTTAAGTGGCTGTCGGACCCCAGGTTGTGTGGCTGAGCGGCAGGGCGGCAAATCGAATCCCCTCACGAAAACGAACGAGAAGCCTGGCAGCGTGCACACGTCTGCTCCCCTTCGAATCACATGTTTCGCCGGGCTTGCTTCCAGCTCTCGAAAACCGCCACAAGGCCGTTCGCTACCATGACTTCCAACACGCCCATGGAGGACGCCATTAGGGAAAAGGTAGGATGCTTTACGTTGCACTCCTAGCCTTGCTCCTCGTCATACTGGAGAAGTCTACAACCATGGCTACATTTGCTGTCTTCATGGACATCCTCTGAATTCGCCTCCGTTTAGGTCACCGCCGCCTTCCAGCCCTCGCGCCTTGAGATTCACAATGACTCGCACCTCCACGCACACCATAAGGCAATGCAGGGCAGCACGTCACGCGAGACGCATTTCAGACTTGTCATAACGTCGGAGCAGTTCAAGTCAAAGACGCAGCCTTCACGCCACCGCGCCATTGTGAGTGCCCCGTCTCGTAGCATACACTGTATACAATACGACCACCACTGTAGTCGCTTGACCAGGGGCTTCAGGCTTGGGCAGACTTGGGCACAAAGCAACAGTAGACTGACACCAGACTGACGCAGTACACACTGCTCAAGGAGGAGATGGCTAGGGAGGGTGGCATTCATGCACTGCAACTCAAGACCATGACCCCCGAAGAAGAGGAACGGCAAAGACAAAAGGAGCAAAAGGAGGTCGAGGCCTCTGGCTGAAAAGGTCACCTCTGATAGGCTTCTAATGGCACCAGGACCTAAGAATCGGCACCTACGTCTTTGCGGAAAGAACACCGTAGGCCCTTACCTAGTAGGGTAGATCCCTTACCTAGGTCCCTTACCTAGGTATCAGGCATGATGACCGTAATCCATGTCAACTCCCATCTGATTGAGCCAAGGCAAGTAGCAACCAACCCATGAGATAGATGTCTTCTATGAAGTCATGGCGTCAATTTTCAGTGCCGGAAAATGCCTTTCTGGGATTCGGTGTAATTTCCTTCCTACGTCTAGCTGGAAGATGCCAGGCGCGGATGTGGGTTCTTGCGCATGGCATCCCGAAAATGTTGGACAAGGCTTTTGCTGTTTTTGCCGGTTTTGCTTGCCGGGCCCTGCTTGCGTTTCTGTACCCTCGAACCCGCAGATTCGCGAGAAGGGGGCCTCATACTTCCTTCTCGAGGGAGCCGGGCCGACTGTGGCTGTTTCGGTTTCCGAACAGTCTCGGGGATCCGCGTAGGATTTGCCTCCAGTATTGATCGTGATGTGTTTGGAATGATGATTGAAGCCTGACTGGGAATATCCGGAGCACTTAGCCAAGGGTCCACCGTGCTTCTGGGGTTATTCTGCAACTCAAGAAAGGGCGGCCTTGTGTCCGTGGACTTCGGAGTGCTCAGGTCGGGTGAACAGCTTGTGCGCCGCGATGAAGGATTTCCGGGTATCCTATCCTCTTCGTCCTCAGTCCGGTCTTTGGTGGATGTCTGCCTCGGGGGCGGAGAGCGTTCGGTGACTGGGGCTGTTTGGGTCTCCGCTCCAGCAAGGCCTTCGTTAATGTGCCTTGTCTCTCCCGGATACACATCAAAGGCAAGAGCAACCGCGGCTTTGTCCATCACCTGCTGGCTGTAGACTGGGTGTGTCGTATTCCTGTTATACCACTTGATTGCAGGGAGGGGGTTGCCAGCCTCCGCCCAGTTCTGGATATATGGAAGGTATCCATGCGCAAATGCCCGGATGAAGTCATCATAGAGGAACGGGATGAGCTCGTCTCGGTCTTCGAGGTACTTGAGGTAAATGCAGGTCCGAAGAAACGTGGAGAGGTCGCCACCATAGTCGGTATATGTTGCCTTGAACTGCTCATAGGGTTTCCGGCTAGTAGTCGTAGCAGGTGGTGGCACCTCGGGAGTGCTGGTTACGGGATGTTCGCTATGTTGTGGCTCCTCCTCGACTGGCGGGAGCGCCCTTTGGGGCAAGATGGATTCCTGAGTCACTGGGTGAGATTGCTCGTTTGGCTCGTCGAAGATGAGGTTGTTCAACGACTGCATCCGCTGACGCCTCTTTCGCGGCGTATCTGAGCCTGTTTGCCCACCCTGGCCCTCTGAGCATGGAATGACCTGCGCGGGTGGCGGCGTTGGACACGGCTGGGCAAGCCGATTTATGGTGACTCTCTCAACCCAGTCGTTCGCCTTCGGTGGAACTAGCGGTAGTTCGTCCTCAGAGTTGCCCGCACTGCTGAAGGGCACATGTGGGCAAAGGTTTCGTTTCGGGGCAGGACGTATTGGCGAGTACGTGCTGTCGGTTATGCGAGGTCGCAATGTCGGCTCAGCTGCCGTACTGGTCGGAATGTGCGAGGACTGGACTTGTGTGGCGAAGTCATGAGATCTATTGGAGCGAACCAATGGCTGAATGGACGGAGGGCGCGATATGGGCGACGAAGCCTCGTCGCTCCTAGTGCTGGAATGGACAACGACGGTGGGGCGATCGCGGACTGGAGATGATGGCCAGCTGATTTCTGTACCATTTGGACTCTGGTCGATGCTCTGTGACATGACATGACCTCGCGCTATCGGCGTCGTAAGTCTCGAATCCGGGTCATCGTCGCTTCTGGGTGTCGAGGGAGGTGGAGCGTTGACAATCGCTGCTTGCGGTGGGGAAGAGGCCATTTGCACAGGATTGCGTCGCTGGACCTTGGCTTGTCTGGTATGAAACTCTCCCAGTCCCCTCAGGACCGAGAGTGGGATGTTAGGCGGGGCCCCCGGTTGTTTGCTTTGTTCTTCTGCCCATGCATTCTCTTTGGCAAGAAGGTCCTCTTGGTCTTTTGGTATTCGAAAGAGAGCGGCGTTGAGGCGTCCGCCATTGGTGGTGAATTGTGACCTCGAGAGGAGGCCTTGGTCGCCGCCGCGTGCGCGGCTCCTTGGAAGGGACATGCTGGCAGGAAGCCCCTCACTCCATATCTGGAGGGATCGACTAGCTCCGGAGTCGGTTGATGTGGGAGCTGCGCATGCGTTAAGTGAATCCGAGATAGGAGGACGCGTTTGCTCGATCTGTTGGTGAATCTTGTCTTAGGACGATCAACCACCAAGGTTGTCGTGGCTGGCTCGGAGGCTTGGGCCCCCGCATCTGGGGAGAGCAGGCCCCACTTAAACCCGTGTAACGCGTCGCATGCCAGGGCACATGCAGCTGCGGCAAACGCCTTGTCACGTGATACCAACGTCGCATCGGCTAGTCGCTGAAGGCAACCTGCGGGGACAGCTCCACACCCCACCTCCAACCGTTGTCAGCCGGCCCTTGACGTAATCACAGGCTGCTGGTAGCACACTGGTGCGGGAACGAGGATCTTGGTTTGACTCGAACTCACTTCGCGACGCCGCCGTTCGCGGCGAGACCTGGCTCCCTGCACCACCGTTGCCATCCTCTGCAGCAGGCCGGCCCTTCATGCATGAGCCCACGCTCCGATCCAGATCGCCGTCCCATGGGCTTCCCTCCGCCGTCCATGATGAGCGAGACCGCCTCCCGGGCCCCAACGACCACGCCCTAGCAATACCGAAATCAACCCGCAGCCGTCTCCGAGCAGTGCCATGTCGTCTTCGGGGGGACTGCGGCCCCGCGGGCATTCCTTCGCCTCCACGACCGCCTCCGAGCACGTCGACAAGGAACAACTCGCCCTAAACCTCGATAAGATTCACACGTCGGCGAGCCAATCCGATGCCCTGACCACCTTCAACGACTTTGCTGCCCCGCCGGGCACGGCTCCTGTCGCCGAGAGCAAGAGCGGCGCCGGAGACCTCGTCCAGCAGGGCTTGAGCGGGCTCTACAGTCGGTTGAGGGAGGCCGTCGGGGCCGTCGGGAAGGCATCGGCCCAGGGGCCGGACGATCACAACGCCCATGACATCGTGTCTAAGAAGAGCACTGTCCATTCAGTACCTGGTGCCGCCGCCAGGACACCCGCGGTATCCCTCCCCCGCGGGGAGAACGGTGGCACCGCATCCACCCTCAACTCGAGCATGACGAGCGATGGCCCCTATGCGATGGCGTCTACAGCTGACGGCCACTCACAGCCGGCCCCGCAATCTTCCAAGGCATCATCGATAACGACCACACAAGCCTCCAAGTCCAGCACGTCGAGTGGCCAGACTTTGCCTAAGATGGCAAAGGCGGTCGTGCCGTCAGTTTCCAACCCATCTGTCGTGACCCTTAACGTGGCCGCGTTCAAAGGGAAGGATGTGGCTCGCGGAGTTACCACACGGGTGGAGGATAGCCCTGGGCCTTCGCGACTAAGGAGCGCTAGCAGAACATCCGACGTACCCAAGGCTTCTACCCCGGGGACGGTGGACTCGTTTGAAAGCTCAGATATTAAGCTTCAACCCCCACCGCGCTCACGGCGGGAAGAGGGGCTGAGCGCGGACGCTGACGCTCCCATGAGCCCAGTTAGGGGATCCGCAGCGTCGGTTTCAACTCAGCATAGCGCGGATGCAAGCCTGAGGGCATCTGTAGTAGCCCCGAGGGCGTCCTCGCGAGAAACGCTCAGGAAGCCTGCCGTCATCGACAGGATCAGCCACGCCCGAGCGTCTGGGGACAGTAGGTCTCGATCCTCCTCTATGGAGCCTGGCATGGCCGAGCCAAGTCCCATCAGCACGTCCGCCCACAATTCGGTGTACCATGATTCTTTTGCGAGGCACGAAAAACCCCGGCAGTTGGCATCCGGAAAATTGAGGATTCCGGGAACCACCACGAACGAAGGATCTCCTCAGACTGTCAATGCCCGCCTCGAACATATGCGGAAGCAGGTTGTTAGCAAAGAGTTCTGGATGGCAGACGAGACTTGCAAGGAATGCTTCATTTGCGGCCAACCTTTCTCTGCGTTCCGGCGGAAGCATCACTGCCGCACTTGTGGGTGTATATTCGACTCGAAATGCACCTCTACAATCTCTGGACAAAAGTTCGGTGTGGCCGGGACCCTGCGCGTCTGCAAGACATGTCTTGACATTATCAATCGCCGCTACGACTCTGGCTCCGACGATTCGGGAGACGACTCGTATCTGCCAACAATATTCCGCTCCGGCGTCAGCAAGAACAGCTCGAAACCCCGGGCGGACGATGAAGCTAGTATCTTTGAACGTAACGAGGAAGGGGACGGCTCGAGGTCGGCCATGACTCCCATGATGGCCATACCTACACGTCGGATTGGCGACTCCAAGGTGTTGGAGATTGACGCTCCTCAGCTCAGCCGACCCAGCTCGTCACGGTCTCTCAAGTCGCTTGCCGGGCGGCCCATGTCATCTGGCCACAGACGGGCCCATTCCAAGTCCAACTTCCTGGGTCGGTTCAGGGCCACAGCCGAGGAGCGCGCCCCTTTCCGCAAGCCTGTGAACGACGAGCTTAGGCGCAACTCCAAGTTGCCTGCTTTCCATGACGACAACATCATCGATCCCGAACTAGAACCGTACATGTCCGAAGAGTCTAGCGGTGACGAGCAGATGAGCATTTTTGCAACCATGGCCACCAATGAAATCTCCGCGTCCAGTCTGGATCCAGAAAAGTCCAACTTTGGTCCATTTCTCTCGGCGGGCAAGAGGCATCGTATGCGCCCCGGAGAGAAAAGCATCAGCGGCCTCAGTTTCACCAGCCGAGGCGTCGATGACGGCCCCGGAACCTCGCTTGCCACTGGTCACCCTAGGCCCAACCGAAGACGTAACATGAGCACTGCCAGTGCCAGCCAGCACCACACTCTGCGCTCGCCTAGGCCTAGATCTGGCGTGTTCTACAAGGGCTTCTCAGCTTCGGGCGATCTTCTCGGTGTCCTTGACACCCCGATCGAGGCCACAAAGCTAACCAGGAGTGACTCCATGAGGGGCGAGCGCCCTACTGATGTCCAACTCAGTCCGTCGAGTCTGAAGCACGTTAAAAAGCTTCTCCGGCAGCTCCTACAAGACGCGAAGCTTCCCAGCGCGGCAGCGTGGGAAAGGTCGCTTCTTCCGATCCTAACACGATGCGCCGATGATGTCTCCCCGGACAGCCGCCAGCAGTCAGATGACATGGACATCCGCCATTACGTCAAGTTGAAGAAGATCCCCGGCGCCAAACCCGGTGACACTAGCTACGTCTCGGGAGTGATATTCACCAAAAACCTAGCCCTCAAGAGCATGCCTCGGAGCATCCTCAACCCACGGATCGTCATTGTGTCGTTCCCAATCGAGTATCAAAAGAGGCATCAGCAGCAATTCATGAGCCTCCAGCAGCTGCTCGAGCAGGAGAAGGAGTTCTTGCGTGTTGTCGTCAACCGGATCATCGCTCTCCGGCCTCAGGTTCTTTTGGCGGAGAAGAGCGTGGCTGGTGTCGCTCTTCAGTATCTATCTGAGGCCAACATTGCCGTCGTCTACAACGTGAAGCCGTCAGTCATCAATGCCGTCCACAGATGTGCAGGGGCTAGCGTTATTTCTTCTCTGGACATGCTGGCGCTGCCTGTCGACGTGGGCCAAGCTGGGGGCTTCGAGGTCAAAACCTTCGTCAATAAGGAGATCCCTGGCAGGAAGAAGACGTACATCTTCATCTCTGGTTGCGACCGGGAGCTCGGGTGCACCATCGCCCTGCGAGGAGCACCAACCCAGGTGCTCACGGAGATGAAGCGCATCACCGAGTTCATGGTTTATGTCGTTTATAACCTGAAGCTGGAGTCGTGTCTTATGCGGGATGAGTACATCAAGCTGCCTGACGGCACAGAGGAGCCTTCTCCAGTACCGCCCTCATCCAAAGAGTCCTCTAACGAAGGCCTCCGATCGATGTCCAGCCCCTGTGTGGGCTGTGCGGCGACGGGCGACCAGCCGGGTCCCGCTGCAACGCAGAGCGTCGGACCCGAGAAGACACCAGAAGCCAGCCAGGAAATGACTCCAGGATCGCAAGAGGCTGTCTCAGCGGCCGCAGGAGAGCTTGGCCAGGAACAGGTGTCGCAAAAGGCGCCAGAGCAACCAAGTCGGCTCATCTCCCTTCACGACACTCATTCGCACGCGCCCCATGATTCTCCCGTACCGGAGGACGTGCCTATGCCGACTTTTTACAGCGACATGGTTGCTAAGCACGAAACAAAAATCCTCTCGGCCTCCCCCTTCGTCAAGTTCACGCAGCCATATCACCTGATGAAAGCGCGAGAGCAGGAGAGAAGGCTCGTGTACCTCAAACGTCTCCGAGACCAGGACATTGTCGAGGAGCATGCCGAGAGTGAGAAGTTGAAGCCTGGACGTTTCCAACTCATCAAGCCCGAGATGGTGCATCAAGTTGGTCACAAGGCGCCTAGACAGGTCATGGAGGTTCTGCACGCGGTGCACGACGCAGAGTATGACAAGGCACTTTACAACTATCAGACGCAGACACGGCAGTGGGAAAACTACATTCAGGGCAACCTCGACCTTTTCGACCCATATCTCCACCAGAATATCGTCGTTCTGTACTCGCATATCTGCACCGAGACCAAGATACCATGCAGAGAGCCCGGACTCCTCACGATTGGCTTCTATGAGGAGGAGCCAGACCCAGGTGGACACACGGTCCCGGACTGCACTTTGGGAAAATACGTGGAGGACCTCTCCCTGAACGCCTTCAGTGTGTGCAACGAGAACGGCTGCGACAGACAGATGTGGCAGCATCACCAGACATATGTCCATGAAGAGGCGAGAATCACGGTGCTGATCGAGAAAGAGTCGCCTCTCCCAATCGGGGTTATGCTTGGCCCAGGAGACGACGATATCTACATGTGGAACTATTGCAAAGTGTGCAAGAAGGATCTCGGCGTCATGGTCATGTCGGAGAGCACCTGGAAGTACTCGTTCGGAAAGTACCTGGAGCTCTCGTTCTGGGGCAAGGGGCTGAGGCTACACCCAGGCTCTGGATGTCAGCACGACCACCAGACCGATCACATCCGGTATTTCAACTTTCGCGGAAACACAATTCGCATCCACTACGACCCAATCGACTTGCTTGAGATCATTGTGCCTCGGGCGCGCCTGACGTGGAAGGTTGACAACGACTTGAGGCTCAAGAACGACATCTTCAACAAGCTCGAGGAGCGGTGGAACAGATTCATGAGCTCTGTCAGAGCGAGACTCAAGAGCATCAGGATCGACAGTGTCCTGCCCGAGAAATCCGAGTCCTGCAAGACCGAGGTCGAACGTCTTACAAAGAAGGCCCAGGAGGACCAGCCGGAGCTCGTGCGGAAGCTTCAGGATGCGTACATGAACTCCAAATACTACGAGGTCATCCCGATGAATCCAGTCGTCAGAGAGATGCTTGAGCTCGTGTCTGAGTGGGACGCGGCATTTGCCGAGTTTGAGGCCGAGTTCCTATCGGACAAGGATGTCAGGCAGCTGACAATGATTCAGCTGAAGAAGATGTTTGGTGACAGTGAGTCAAAGGAATCCCTGCCGGGCACCGATGGGACCTCGATCATATCTGTCGGCTCGGAGACGGACGAGAAGGCATCGGCAGCCTTGACCCAGGGATCGGACGCCCAGGATGAAAAGCTGGCATCCCAGCCAAGCGATGCCGCCGAAAGCATCTCAGGAACTTCGCCACCATCAGCCGTGGGCGACCAACCTATGTCTGCGGTTGAGGATGTCATGAGCTCAAGCCAGGTCGATTCGGCGCTTGGGGCGGTTGAGCCGCTTGACTTGGCCACACCACGGTCACCGCTGGTGACCAAGGGCGGCACATTTTTTCCGGTTCCGGCGGAAGTCGTAGCGCCCGCTGCCGTGGCTCCTCTGACTGCGGCCTCAGACTCGCCTGGCACACCCGCCTCCCCAGTCGCGACTCCGGCAAGCCCGATGCGACAATCCCAGTCTGGCGCGGCTCAAGGTCTGGATTCAACTCCCCCAGTTGCGTCTAGCCCCACCTTGACGGAGAAAGTTGAGCAGATCAGAAGAGACCGCCGCGCGCTTTCAGGCGATACTAGCCATGGCTCCGCCGTGATGGGGGCGCACGCTGGTCCATCAAGGCTCGTCCCGGAGCGCGGATCATCCCGTAAGGCGGGATTGACCATATCGCCTCCTATGGTGCGAGCCATATCGCAACCCTCCGTCGTGCCATACACCCGCGCTCATTCGGGCCTTGGGAAACATGCACCAAACCCAGTACTTGACAACAAGCCAGCAGAACTTGTCCAGAGCGGTTCCGACATGTCCAAAGCCCCGACCGAGAGTTCCACCAAGAGCGAGAAGAAGCTCTCGGAACGCCTCGGGATAAGCGCCTTAAAGACACACAGGAAGTCCGGGCAGTCGTCGATTCCTCGATACGTACACGGAAAGAAGAAGGACGTCACCCGTGTATCTGCACTGGCAAAGCACTTCGAGCAGCTCAGCCGCGAGTTCGAGAAAGAGAGGATGCGGGACCGTAAGCAACGCGCGGCCAAAATGCATTACTCGCGTGCCTTCCTGCCTCGTACCTCCACCAAGGCCACTGTTGAGGTGTACGAAAACGTGGACCAGGCCGTGCAGGAACTCGGCCACGAGGAAGAACCCGTGAGCTATCCGGATCAGAGCAAATCCAGCCAACCCGTGCCGATAGACTCTAGGCCGCAGCCAACAGCGGTCCCTGCCGAGGACGATACTGGGCCTACTGAAGGGGCTCCTACATCAAACACACCCCCTGGTGCGCCATCGGTGACGGACGTGGCTTCTGTCGATGAAAGCAAGCATGACGAAAGCCGACCCGGGTCAGATGACGAAGGTGATGATGGGGCCAGTGATGCCGACCAATCGTCTCTGCTCGACGACATCTTGCAGATGCCCGAGTCGCTCGAGCCCAGTGGAGAGATACCCAAGCATCAGAAGACCAGCCTGATGAAGATGCTTACCAACTTCTGGGCCGAGCGGTCAGCGAGTGGCTGGCCGCAGCTGGAGTATCCGCTCAATGCAACGGACCACATCTTCATCGACTCGGACGTGATAGTTCGTGAGGACGAGCCGAGCTCGCTAATCGCGTTTGCGCTAAGCTCGACGGATTACCAGGCCAAGCTAGCGGATATCCGTCACTCGTGGAAGATGTCGGCGCGTGCAGCGGCTGATGAGGGTGAGGAGATGAGCGGCCTGTCAGACTCGGCCGACGTATTTATGGGTGAGGAGGAGCTGGAGACGAGCCTCCTCAAGTCCACAGGCACACACCTCAAGTATCAGTTCACGGAGGGCTCGGCCAAGATGCTGTGCAAAATATTCTACGCAGAGCAGTTCGATGCGCTGCGGCGCAAGTGCGGCGTTGCCGACCGCATCATCGAGTCGCTGTCCCGGTGCCTCAAGTGGGATTCACGTGGCGGCAAGACCAAGTCGGTGTTTCTGAAAACATTGGACGATCGCCTCGTCATGAAGGTAAGCCAACACAATGGTTCCCCGATCACATGCATGCATGCCTACCGAGGTACCTAGCTCACCATACCGCATCTCACCAGTCACTCTCCCCCATCGAGACTGCGGCGTTCCTTCGATTTGCGCCGGCATACTTCAGCCTGATGGCGGAGGCGCTGTTCCACGAGCTCCCGTCGGTGATTGCCAAGATGCTCGGCTTTTTCCAGATCATCATCAAAAATCCCGTCACCAACACCGAAATCAAACTGGATCTGCTCCTCATGGAGAATCTGTTCTACGACAGATCTCCGGATCGAATCTTCGATCTCAAGGGCTCAATGCGAAACAGGAAGATCCAGTCGACGGGAGAGCAGAACGAAGTCCTCCTCGATGAGAACATGGTAGAGTACATCTACGAGTCGCCGTTGTTCGCGCGGGAGCACTCTAAACGGATCCTACGGGCGTCGGTGTGGAACGACACGCTTTTCCTGGCGCGACAGAACGTGATGGACTACTCGCTGATGGTGGCGGTGGATGAGACGAAGAAGGAGCTGGTGGTGGGCATCATCGACTGCATCCGGACGTACACGTGGGACAAGAAGCTCGAGAGTTGGATCAAGGACCGCGGGTTCGCGGGTGGCGGGCGCAACCGACCGACGGTAACGAGTCCCAAGGAGTACAAGTCGCGCTTCCGGGAGGCCATGGCGCGGTACATTCTACAGGCGCCCAACTGCTGGCACCAGCTGGGGTCGTCCAGCTCCGGCACGGGACAGCTCCGGGCCCGGTTCGAAGAGTTCCCGGTGGCGGCAGACTAGAGCTCTGGCGCGGGAGAGGAGCCAATATCGGAGTCATTGCAAACTGCGGGATGCAGAGAGGCCTGAAGCAAAGGTCTCGGTCCAGGATGAGATATGTATGACCAGACAGATACTCCAGGCGTTCTCACATGATACCTTTTGCTTTTCTTCTTTTTTTCTGTCTATTTCCTTCTCCACCTTCCCTTTCTTTCCCTTTCCTCTAGCTTGTAACTGACTTCTTCTTGAAATACTGTTATTTAAAGTCATAATTATTGGTATTTTAGGTGAGAGAAGCCTGGATGGTAACGAGGCGTTGTAAGTATGGCGCACAGCCTAGAACACAGCTAGATAGTTGTCGTACGAGTTTATGAATTCGGTCCACTCAGAGACGTATCTGACACAGAATACCTTTCAAAGATGCAAATTATGTGGTTACTGCCAGTTAATATGTGAGATTGACAGGACATTCACTTGGACGCGGATGGTCGCTGGAGGTATAATGATTATTTGAGGTTCGTAGTGGAGGCCCTCAGGTGCTAATGGTGGTCAAACACCCACTGCTGATGGGGCACAGCTGGTATTGACCCAGCGCTGTGCTGCCAGCAGCCGCACCAATTGGCGTGTGCTCAAACGGGCTCCCAATAACCCAACCAATCTACCCGCCTTGAAATAAGTTCCTCAAAAACTTCACTTTCCGCGGAAACAATCACCCACAACACTAGTTTACAAATCCGGGCCTCTCCACGATTCATCTGTCGTACCGTACTCTGAGAGATAGACTAGAGCTTGCAGATGTCTATCGAGCTCAACTGGGAGACTCTGACGCAAGGGCCCGATGGCGATGAGCTGAAGAACCGGATTCGGGACTTCATCCACGCAAAGTTTCAGACGGTGCCACTGCCGCGCTTTATCAAGTCCGTCACCGTCCACGACTTCCAGTTCGGATCCATTCCGCCCGAACTGGAACTTAAGGACATCACAGATCCCCTGCCCGACTTTTACGAGGAGGATCCGGACGCGGATTATGACGACGACGATGACGACGATGACGACGAGAGCGACGGCGCGGGCAGGGAGGAGGTAGCAACGGTGCACAGCGATCCCTATCACGGGCCCGGGGGCAGCCCAGAGGACCACCGGTCCAGCTACGGGTCGTCGTCTCCGCTGCGGCCCAGCGGGGGTAGCAGCAGCCTCGACCCGGGCCGGTGGCCCCGAAGCGGGCCGGGAGGGAGGCAGCCCGGCGGCGGCGGCGGCAGCATCAACATCAACACGCGGCTGCGGGGCGAGGCGCCGGCGCAGGACCTGACGTCACCGTTCTTGGGCACGTCGACGCCCGGCATCCTCTCGGGCGGCACCTCCAACTTCTCCTACTTCCACTCGCACCTGGCCTCGTCCGGGTTGTCGGGCACCCAGACCCCGCTCGCGGCCGTCGCCGGCGCCCACCGCGTGCACCCGCCCTGGCTCGACGTCCACGGCTTCCGCGGCGGGGGCAACGGCGGCGGCAGGGGCGGGATGCAGCAGCAGAATCAGCGGGAAGACAGCAGCAGTAGTAGGGGCAGCAGCAGGCACAAGCCTGCCGCTGGCTCTCCCGTGCTCGAGGTCGACGGCTTCACGCCCTCGCACAGCCGCCACGGCTCCGTCTCGG